GGGTTGTGGTCGTGGGGCGAAGCCGGCAGTGGCCACAGGGCTCGGCGCGCCCGTTTTGTGATACGAGTGTGTATTGCTGTCACCAGCCTTCTCTACGGGTGGCCGGTATACTGTTTTTTGCATTCTTCTGTGGGTTTGGTACGGCCCTTCTTTTCTTTTCTTTTCTTTTCTTTTCTTTTCTTTTCTTTTCTTTTCTTTTCTTTTCTTTTCTTCTCTCTTTTTTCTTTTTCTTGGATTTGGATTTTTTTTCTTTTTATTGTTTGCGGCTTTGAATCACTAATGGTACATTTTTTAAAATTAAATTTTCAAAACCTTGCAAATTTTACATTCCCTGTCAAACACGCCTCATTGCATCATACCCTCTATCTAACACTTTTTGCAAAAACATTTTTCTCAGCTAAAAATATGGCATCACATGCATACAAAAGAGCAGACGAACTCACATCCTCAAGCAACGAACCTCTGAAGTCACCCCAAGCCTTCCTTACACATTTATCCATAGATACATTAGTCAAGAGCATGCCGCTACTTTGCCTTGTACTCAGTGCACTGGGAAACCATTTGCTACATATTCCATTTGCGCTCATGCAGGCTTTATATTCACCACGTGCCACTCTTACTGCACCCCGCAACATATTCATGCAAAACATTTAAGACTGCTCACTTTACAATGCACTTTCTCCAAATCAGCAACAAATTTTCTTTTTCACATTCATACATTTCTCCATGATCTACTAAACAGCCAAAATCTGGGTTGCATTAAGCTGCACTGCCCTTTCTCCATTTCACTCACTGTCACGTCTCATTTCCTTTTGATTGTAACTCTGCCAAACACTTTCCCAGGCAGACTTCAGAAATTAATTCCTGATAGTTTTGCCTTCAGTCGTGCCACGTTTCTTTACGTGCCACAGGGCGTGTATAGGGTTAGGGTTAGGGATCGCATTCTTCCAATCCTCTAACACGGGAGCAGTCTTCATACGTGTTAAATCATGTCATGAGGCAATCACATTTGTATTTTAAAATTTCTCCAGCTATACCTGTAGTCTTATCATTTTTCAACATTCTTACAGCGTGGAGGGTTTCCTGTGCATCCATTTTTTAAAAATGGTAGAATAATAACGTTGGAACAGACTTTCAAGGCTAGGTATTTCCTTTTCAGCAGCCATGAGCAGAGCTGGGCCTGTTACTACAGATGGCCAGATCAGGGCAGAGCAGAGTAAGCTATTTCCTGGGATCTGGACTCTGTGCTTCTCTCAAGATTTGAGGAGCTGCATCGCACTGCTGTCTCATGTTCAGCTTGTGGCCAAGAAGGACGCCCAGATCAAATGTAATTGAAAAGGACACTCAAATTACTCTCACGTGTACTACTACCAAGCCAGGTCTGTGCCTTACATTTTTGTACCCAGATACCAAATTGGACAGTTCTTCTTGTTCACTCTGTTCATTTTAGCCCATTTCCTCGCCTCATCCCAAATAATTTGATCACATCTGTGTTTAATTCTGTTCCCTGTCTTTTTAGCCTTCTTCACCCAATTGTTTCAAAACCATTTTTACTTCCATCCAAATCACACTGCATGTTTTTCTGCTTTTTTAATTTAATCATAACTCCTCATTGCTTTCTCTCTTTGACTACCTTCTTTTTCTCTGTATGCACATTATACAATAACTTTTTCTCATCTTTACTTTTTGCAGCAATCATTCTCTTATGTCAATCTTTTCTCCTTCACAGCCGCTTTGTCCTTCCACCAAGCCCTCTTTTCCAGACTTCTGGTTGGAAGCATCTGGTTGGAATGCCACTTCTGTGGCATTTTGTAAAAATATTATTTTCTTTCTGTTCCGACCGTATTCTACATCTTTCTGTCATTCTCTTGGCAGATTAATCTATATTCCAATCCTTTGTCATGTAAGATTCATAGTTTCCCTTCCTGCAATTATTACTCTTTCATTGGAGTTTACTTTTCTTCCATGTGCATTTTTCTCAAGGCCCACACGAGACACTACTAAGAAATTGGAGTGACCCACATTCAGAACCTCTGGTCCTCCTATCCTTCATTAATTCTCCTTCTTTCATTATAAACAAGCATGCTTTTAGATTTATATTCATTCCTTTGCAGTGTGTTTTTATGAATAAACTTAAACCATGTATTTGAAACAGTTATTTTCTAAGCAGATATTCTCAAAACGATTCTTGTCAGGCATGGGTGGGTGGTTCTCAGGACTGAGCAGAAAAACGCAGGGTGCAAAACCTTCTTGTGAAGCAGTCCTCTTTCTTTCTTTCTTCCTTTCTACATCACATTTCAAGATAGAAAAGCACTGGATTCACAGAAAGTTTGGCTCTTCAGCTTGACAGCTCTGCCGGGGCATTCAGGTTAATACCTCCCACCCCTTCTGTTCTGGCCTCAGGAGAGAGTGGAATGCGCCAAACTGAGAGAGATCTAATGTGTGAGCCCTAGTCAATGGGATCAGGTCCATGTTTGCTGTGGCGGTTATGAGCTCCAGAGCTACCGCTGGCTCCAGGCCCAAAAAAGGCAGACTGACGTTCCAAGACCAGTACTGTTTTCTGCATCCCCCTGCTCACTGGGAGGGTTTCAGCAGGCCAAGGCGATGCACTGTATGTGCCCCATAGGTGTGGGTGGGAGACTCTTCCCAAAGGCGTGCTTGGCCGTGCCGAGTCTTAGGCATAGCTTGGGATGTCCCCTGGCCCACAGAACGAATGGCCCTAGTCCTCATTTTGTCCTTTGGTCCTACTCTCGGGAATATTATTCTTGCACCCATTCTTGTTTGTGAACCTCTCAGGCTGTGGCCTGTGGTTGCTTCTCCCAAGGTTGCTTCTCTGGACGGTGTGGTGGCTATCCTGAACTCCTGGGACATCACCCTGACAGACACCATGCTCCACAAGATGGAGGCCGAGCAGCAGCGCCGAGCCCTGCAGAAGCAGAAGCACAAGGAAGCAGAAGTGCGCCAGTGAGCTCCCTTCCTCCCCTCCCTGGCCTGCGTCGTTTTAACGTGGCCTCTGAGTATCTACTGTACTCCTCTGATTGTGAACAACTTTTGGAGTGCTTTGGCATACAAAGTGGTCTGTAAGTAACGTACATACATGAGGTGGTGTAAGACGCATCTTTGTTATAGTGGGTGGGGGGAGGGGGGAGAGGGCTCTCTTAAGCAGTCTACAGCAGACACTCAAAGGAGGCTTGTGGGAACCCTAGCGTTGCAGTGGCACCTCCCCATTTAGATCTGGGGGAGCCCCAAAGTCCCACACCAAGGACTTTGTCAGGCTCCAACTTCCCCTTCAGAGAAGGAGAAAGACCAGGAGGGCCAAGTGTTCTCAGTGAGCAGTTCAAACTGGGTCCTTGACTCCTGTTGGTCCCCACAGGACTGCAGAAGCAGTGGAGCAGTTGGCCAAGGAGCACGAGAGATGCAGCAAGGAGGTGAGAGCCAGACTCTCCCCCAGGGAGGCTCTCGGGGGTCTGGTTTGCCAGCCTAACTTTTGGGGCACGTAGCACGCTGCACCTGATCCTTGACATCAGTGCTTGCAGCCTTGCCCTCCGTGCATCTGAGAAGAAGCTCAGCCTTGTCACCGAAACCTGCCTGGCCTTGATCTAGCGGGATGGCTTTGCTCCAGATGAACCTTCCCAGCCATGTAGCCTCTTCTGTGTTGCAGCTGCAGCAGGCCTATGCTGAACTCAACCGACGAATAACGGAGCATGACAAGTGCCAGCGGAAGCAGATGGGCAACGCAGAGATCACCCTCCACGTGAGTGCCACCCCCATTCCAGGTGCATTCCACAGCCCAAGAGCTCCGGCTTTCAGGGATGCTCTGAAAGGCTGCAGATTGCAAGGCTGTGGCGCTGTATGCTATCGACCCAGGCATGGCAAGACTTTCCCCTGCAGTGTAGATGCACCGGTCAGCTCTCTGCGATTTGCCATGCAGCTCGGTGATGGGATGCAGGCACCCGGGCTCTACTCAGCCCATCTGCAGGGGCCTAGGAAAAAGATATCCCCTCAGAGTTGTTGCTCATGCTATGGCCATTTCTCTCTGTGGTGGGGGAATGTCTGGGGTTGGAGACAGCTGGAGGTGGCTAACCCACTCCACCTGAATACAGTTGCAATCGACCATGTTCACAGGACATGCTTGATGTTAGATTAGTACGCTTTGAGGCTCTTAATAATATATTCATATTATTCATATTAATAATATCTTAAACTGTAAACTAGCCAACTGTGCTTGGTTCACATAGCTTGCTAGGCCACAAGGAAACTAAGGTTAAAGGCTAACCCGGTTTTGCACCTTGGATCAAGGCGCGAGGCCTGCAGCTGGCCTGGTGAACGTGTTGTGCAAGGCGACGCTCTCTTGGGCCACGTCTGCTCATCCTGTCTGCTCAGAGGGTGTTTTCTGTGCCAGGCCATAGCCGATGCGGAAGAGCTGGTGGAGAGGCTGCGCGTGGCTGCTGAGGATGCTGAGGAGAAGCTGTCCCTGAGCCGCCTGAAGCTGCGAGAGCAAATGCAGGAGGGTCAGCGACGTGGTTCCCTGGGGTTACTTACAGTTGCTGCAAGGGATGAGCCTGCTTAGAGCCAACGGGCAACCCAGCTGAGGCTGAGGCTGAGGCTGAGGCTGAGGCTGAGGCTGAGGCTGAGGCTGAGGCTGGGGGTGATCCCTGCACGGTCCTTCCCATACTTCTCCAAGGGCGCTCCTGAACTTGGAGCTGGGCTACCTCAACCTTGCAGTTCTTCACAGTGGCTCCCTGCCTACTCCTACTGCCTACTCAAGATCATTTCTGAACACAGGTGACTTTGCCCCCGAACAAGGAATCAGGGCTGTTCCGAAAGGGTTAGCCTCGCCCTCGAAATGCAGGCTGGTTTGGGAAGGGAGAGGAGAGGAGAGGAGAGGAGAAAGGTGGCATGTTGTGCTCAGGGAAGAAGAGCCTGTTGAGGGAGTTGATCCAGCATTCCACAAGGTCTGGATGGCCATCAGAAAAAGAGCCCAGGGCACTGGGGAGGGGCCCCAAGGAATAGGGAGATGCTGCCAAGGCTTCCCTAGTGGTTTGGAGGGCAGCCACCAGTCCCTCACTGCTGTGCTCTGCCTCAGCAGGGTCGCCCTCGGAGATTCAGGGCCTGAAGTGCTCCGTGCAAGAGCTGGATGACGTGCTGATGAAAGATGTGGGTGGGAAAATCCACGCAGATGGGCGGTGAGTGGCAAGGAGGGCGCCTGCCTGGCAGTCCTCCCCAGGAAGCAGGGCCTTGTGGGCTCGAGCAGTAGATGGACTGCCATCCCAGCCACCAGCTCTCTCCTCCCCTCCCTTTAGGTGGCCCCTGATCATTGACCCGTCTGGCCAGGCAGCAATTTTCTTGCGTTATCGTGACACCAATTACCTGAACACCGTGAATCCTGCTGACATGGCTGTGGAGACCATTCGCCTGGCCTTGCTGGGGTCTCTTCGGTAGGGCTCAGCCAAACACGGCACGGCCATGGGGAGCGCTGAGCCAGCTGTGGTGTGGGAGGACAGCACAGGGCAACAGATGTGCCACAAACAATGTCAGAGGTGGGAAGGGGAAGTTGGGTTCTGATGAGAAGCACAAAGGTACCTTCTGGCAGATGGCCTACCAACATCCACAGAGGACAACTCTCGCTCTCTCTCTCTCTTCTTGGCCCACCCATCCCCAGCTATGGAAAGCCCCTGGTCTTTGACATGATGGAGCTGGACATGTTTGACACAGTGAAAAAGCAACTGGAACGGCTACAGCCAGGCCTCACTGAGATGGTGCTGAGCAGGAAAATCCTTGAGAATGAAATGTGAGTGCTTCTATTACGTGCCATCAACCCAGAGCAACTTTTAATGGGCCAGAGGCCTCTCTGGTGCCCTAGAACCTAAGGAATGGGGCAGTAGGAGGTCATCTGAACAAAAGAGAGAAGGGTGAAGCATTGGGTTGTAAAATATGGCTGTGGCCATACAGAAAATAGATCCAGAGGTTCAGGGGTGAGGTGGAGGATCTCTCTGCAGCACCTGTAAAAAAATCTTGTGTTTGTCCTTAATGGACGTTGATCTGAGACCCTCTCAATGCCATTACAGGCCAAGGCACTTAGACAACTGGAGATGCAGCCAAGGGCAACTTCTACAGGCTATTTGAATCTTGCCATTTCCAAAAAAGGAGCAAGTAGCACTCAAAAGAGATGCAGGAACAAAGCCAACTATCTCCATGGATTACAGTTCAAGTAAACCCATTCAGCCCAAGTCCACAGAGATGGACTCCATGGTAGCTGCATTCATACAACATTTTAACTTGGCCATACAGTCAACAGCAGTTGAGCAGGCTCAGTGACGCCAAATTAACCAAAGAATCAACCCACTTTCTGGATTTGCCCGGTACATTTATAGATGAACCAGATGGGCTGAGCTGGCGTTACGTGCTAAGGAACAGAAAATTGGAGAAAGCTTAGCGTGTTGTGAGAATGCAGCCCTGGACCTCTCCTTTTTAAGCGACTATATAGGGCCTACTGGTCTCGAATGCAGGTCAGGTACAAATGCCATTCTCCTGAGGGAGCAGGGGATCATTTCAACCATGACGATGTACACACCAACCTCTCCAATAGTTTTCCTTTCTTTGGAATCTTCCCAGCTTTGTACTGCTGCTGCAACATTGGTCACCAAACACACTTTAACAGTTGTGCACCAGTTACGCCCTTTCCTGGATCGGGATGCCCTTCGGTCATTCATGCCCTTGCTATCTCCCAGATAGACTACTGCAATGCGCTCTATGTGGGGCTACCCTTGAAGAGTATCCGGAAGCTTCAGCTGGCCCAGAATGCAGCCGTGTGAGTTATTTTTGGGGCCCAAAGAAGGACCCATGTAACACCGTTGCTCCGCAAGCTGCATTGGGTACCGGTTTGCTTCCGGGTCCCATTCAAGGTGCTGGTTATCACCTCTAAAGCCCTACATGGCATGGGACCAGGTTACCTGAGGGACCGCCTCTCCCCTATGACTTCAACCCGTCCCACCCGATCACACAGAGAGGGCATGCTCCGGACCCCCTCGGCAAAAGAGCGCCGACTAGCGGAGTCCAGAAGGCAGGCCTTCTCTGCGGTAGCCCCCGCCCTTTGGAACATTCTGCCCCCGGAGGTGACACGGGCCCCCTCACTCCCGGCCTTTCGGAGGGACTTGAAGACCTGGCTCTGCCAT